TGCATTTCAGTAACCCATGCTACTATACTTGAATGATCATTTTGATGTTTCTCGATACTTTGAAGATTAAGTTTGTATTCAATGTTGTGAACATCCTGACGATTCATAAGATGCTCCCTTTCAATAGTACCAGTTACACTGTCTCTAACATCATCCAATATTCTTTCAATTGTTACTCCTTCAGCTAGCTTAGCTGCAACAGCATTCTTTACTTCATCAGGTACTCTCAAATGACATACCTCTGGTTTGTGATTACTATGATGACTGCAATAAGTGACTTTAACCATCTTCGTAATAGTATCCTCAATCACTGTCATGTGTGCAGTACAGTATTCATTTGTTTTAGAGGAACCTTGAACCTTGGGAGCTCTCTGACGTTTCTCTTTCGACTGACGCACCACACCAGACCTGTTACAATAATAATAGGATTTCCTGTTAAGACCTTGCATGCGACTGGCACTGTTCTTGACATAAAAAGACTTTGAATGACTTTCTTCCCCTTTCTTCCACTCATAAAACTTATCAATAGAACGAAATTCATGGTTTGTTATTTTGATTTCCTTGTTGTGGCTTTGATTAAGATGCTCAATTAGCTTTGCCACACTTAAAACCCTAAATTAAATAGTGTCACTTCTAGCACTGTATATATACTCAAATATACTTACATTGAGCCGCATAAATTGCAGAAAACGTGAGAATCTTTGACGCTTTTCTCATTGCTATGTTTCTCCTTAACATGCTTTGAAAGTGAAGACGAAAACTGGTAAGACAGATGGCAGAAAGGACACTTCTTTCTTTCTTCAGAACTTTTAGCAGATGCAGCCATGGTGGCACCACGTGGGTAGGTGTGGTGTATAATGTTAAACACGCCCATATTGAAAAAGATACTGGAATATCCCGACTTTTACTGATGGCTAATGTACTGCAATTAATGGCTAGTATCTTACTTACATGCCGCCATTTTGTTAATTAAAGAAGCTTGCCACGTGCTCGAAAATTTGGGTGTGGTCGCGCATGCTCAGATCTGCCATAGATAATAGAGTAAAGGAAATACTTACTCTATTATCTTTTATTTTACTATATTATCTTTCCTTTACTCTATTATCTATGGATCTGCAGCTCTGGAAGAAGCAAGTTATTTTTTACCAAGCTATGCTTGGAATCAACTTACTGCAATACTTTAGTGGTGGTTTCCAGCTAAAAGAAGGTA